TAGTCTATCGTTTAATCAAAGTAGGTACAATAAAAATTGCAATGCCTTACAACTATCACATACAAGGCTATAGAAATAGTTTACATTTTCAACCTATCAAATCGTCACTATTCCCATCTGGAGGAAGTGTACAGTGCAACATATAATCGTGATAATTATCAATGCACAGTCAACATTTTTAAACACTTTTCTGAAAATTTGTATAAGGTGGTTGAGAGTAATCCACAGGAAGCCCTGAACCTAGGGTCATATGTTCAGTGGCACTTTTCAATTATGCTTATCCGCAGCCCTGCAGGAAATGGTTTCCCTCTGGTGATTCGAACCCGCGTCCCAATGCTGCAGTTAGAGACTCAGACACTACGCTAATCTAGTGGAAACAGGTATAAATTCGCCACTTAGGTGTTAGTATATAGTTCTTTAGACGAATAAACCAAAGCTCAAACAGTTTATATATGCCATAGTTGACAAACGTCACAAAATTTAGAGGTGTTAAAAGAGTAACATTCTGTATGTCGCTTTCATATTTTATAATTCCCAAGCCGCATTGAACATAACTCCTAGCTATTCGACCTTGTCCAACCTTTAATCTGCATTTGTGGGAAGGGATTTTGTAATTCCTAAATAGCTTTAAGAAAGTCAGTTACTAATAAATACACTAAGTGTAAAACAAAATCATTATGAATGTTTTTAGTTTCTTGTGAAGTTGCTACAAAGAAGCAAACAATGAGAATGGCCTTCTTTATCTCTCCAAACAAGGAATGAAGTGAAGATTCATTTTTTCCAACTTTTTATAATAGGGATAACTTTGATGGTGTGTAGCAACGTAAGGTATTCCTGCAAAAGTGAATTGTGCTTCCATACTCACCATTAAATTCGCACCATAAGACATGGAGAGTTTGCCCTAGTAACTGCCAAATAGGCATTCGGCTTAATTAACCCTGAACTATTTATAGAAAAGTAGATTACACCACAACCCTGGGAAATATTGTAAAATTTATTATCTAAGAATACCATACTGGAATGTTAACATTAACGATGTGAAAATGATAACCTCATAATTAATTCTTGGTTAGCTAAAGCAGTAACGAGTTATGCATTCGATTTAAAATAACTAGAAGTCAAGCGTCTTTGCTCTTAGTAATGATGTACAGTGAGGAAGATTGTACACTAATATACCTTTCAATAAAATAAGACAGGAAAGAAATCGCATGCTACACTAAGGAAGCAAAAAGTCACTTATTCACACTATACTATTTTTCGTGAAAATTCCTGGTACTTGCTAGTGCGATATATATCATATTGATGAATGTAACTGTAAATCGGCGGCCCGCTTAGACCTTGGGCTACCAAAATTTTTAGTCATTTATATTGCATCTGATTACTTGGATTTATTTTGTTTTAATTATTCAATTGTGTCCAAATCGTGTTACTTACTCTCGCGATTATTTAAAATCTATTCAACCTGATGATTTACGTGTTTATAATAACCTTAAGAAAAAGCATCATGGTGGGTGGCAACGATCCTTAAAGTGTACTCCAATGCATCAGATGGCTGTTTCTGTGATTATGAGCACAAATTGCAGGTCGTTATCGAACAAGATAAATTTCTCGGATGCTCTATTATGTTTAAATATTTACCGTAACACAGGTGTAATAGCGCTTCAAGAAATTTCGGCTCCACGATTCATATGATGACAATTTAATCTCCATAAATGGTTTCAATATGTACAGACAAGACCGAAGGAGTTGAAGGAAGACGCGAGGTAGTGGTGTTGCTACTTTTATCAATTCTCAGTGGTATGTTACCAACAACGCCTGCTTTAAGTTCTCAATTGATAATATTGACTGTATAACTGTCAAATGTCGACCTAAACACCTGTCTAAGTACAACTTCATTTTTATCACGAACATCTATGTGACACCTTGTTGTAGCGCTTCAAAAATATCTATGCTTGCTGATGAATTCACTATTTTCGCTGCCACCTCTTTTGGAAACTCATTGTCCATAGTGACAGGTGATTTTAATTCTTGTGACTGCAGCTTTCTTACAGTGCTAGGTCATGAAAATGTCGTTAACTTTCCCACCACACTGGATACTTCTCTTGATCTTGTATTTATAAATGACTGCGGAATATACGAAGTTCGCAAAAGAGCCCCACTGTTTAACTCAAATCATTATATTGTACGGGTTTTACCCAAAATTTATGGAGAGTTACACAAGATAACTTTTTCACACCTTTCCAAGAAAATTGTACATGGATGTTACTCTTTTTGGAGAATGTTCAGAATCTTAGGAGCATGCTCAAAGACATCAGGTGGGACTTGTTTAATGAAGACTCTCTTGATGACACTATCTCTAATATTACACGTTATCTCAAATTTTGTCTTGACACCTGTTGTCCCAGAGAAACGCTCTTCATCAGATTTGAGCGTTTCTCTTTCACTCAACTTAAAAAGCTTCACAGGCAAAAAGAAAAGTCATATAAAATGAAGGATAATACTGGCTTGAAAAGAATTAACATCCTAATCAAGTCTGAAATGCACAGATTGAATTCAATTTACAGCCAAAAGCTTATATCCTGTAAAAATGCCCCTTATATGTGGAAACATTTTAAAGAAATTACTGATGGTAAGCAGATGAATAGTATTCCTAGTTCCCTTGATCTTTGCACACTAAACAAGTCTTTCATACATTCTCCCACAAATTCTAAACCTTCTAGTGTTACAAGTATTAATGAGACCTGCTTCCCTGGTTTCAATACAAATGATGTTCTAAAATGTCTCCAGTCTCTGAACCCTTCTTGTAGCCTAGGTCCAGATGGGTTGCCCAGTGTTATTCTTAAAAAGTGTGCAGATATCCCGTGTTATCCTCTCATGGACATATTTAATGAATCTTTTTCCAGAAATGTCGTGCCAGCCGTTTGCGAGGACATTAAAATTGTACCTATACCTAATTCGTCTACTGGAACATGTTTTAAATTTAGATCTATTGCTATTACCTCTTCTTCAACCTTCACTTGAAGCCTTTAACGATCCCAAACAATTCGCCTATAAACACAGTAGAAGTACTTTAGATGCAGCTACAGTCTTGTATCATAACATTGTCTCCAGCTTAAATAAGGGGGCTAAATTTTTTCGCTGCACCTTCCTATATTACACATCTGCTTTCGACTCAGTACCTAGGGACATTTTGTTAAACAAGCTTGATGATACTCATGTTAATATATGTGTGAAACTTGGGCACTGTGGTATTAAGTAATTCCATATTAGTTTGATTATTAAATGTATCACACAGTGAAACAGTATTGTATACTGGATGACGTTTCGAACACAATTTATTGTTCATAATCATATCAATCAAAAAAAAAATTGATATGATTATGAACAATAAATTGTGTTCGAAACGTCATACAGTATACAATACTGTTTCACTGTGTGATACATTTAATAATCAAACTAATATGGAATTGACGATACTCAAACTGACTGTTGGGTTGCCAAATGGCTCCATTCTTATTTCTCAGGAAGAAAACAGTACACTGAAGAAAGCAGTCCACTTCGTTGCTTACTGAGGCTGGTGTCCCTCAAGGCGCTGTCCTTTCTCCTTTTCTGTTTTCTTTCTTCTCGCATGACTTGCCTCACTCTGATGAAATGAACTTTGTCAAGTATGCCGACGGTCTTAATATTTCAATGTCTGTCAACTCCCAGCTAGACTGACAATCAAAACATACGGCTTTTCATATTCGAGAAACTGCAATCGAAGTATTTCAGTTTCCATGGAAGAGTTCAAAATGTGTCGTCTCATTTTAAGTGGACATTTAGAATCTAGAGGAACAAGAATAAGAAAAATTAGAGAGATGTGATGCGGTTTTATTTCCCTGAGTAAAATACTTTCTCCAGTAAATGTGGGTTTATGCAACCATCTAGCCTGCACATGGAGACGTTAAGTTATGAGACTGTACACAAAAGGAAAATTAAAGTTACTTGCTAGTATTTATGTTACTGACTTTTTTGATAAACACACCTTTTTGAGGCTCTCCGGACACTGCTATAGCACAACTTTCAGAAACATAACTTTGATCAGCTCACTCAGACTATCCACCAATTTTAAGTTGTTTTCAAGACACCCTCAATTCTTCAATGGCTGGAATGTACAAAGGTTCAATGTACTTCTCACACCGGTGATGCATTTCCTCAAATAGTGTTTACGAGATGTGCGTTTTTATTCAGAAAGCTCACCAACGCTGTGAATCTTAATATGTGGGGTAACAGGTATTTCAGTTTTTTAAACAGCTTAGGTATCAGTACATTCAACTGACTGTACAAAAATTAGGCAACTGTGGCGGCATTATCTAAATACCCAGAAATACTTAACCAAAAGAAACGCATAGAACATTAGTTTACATACAAAATACACATTTAGCTAGACAGTCGTAAAAGCCAGAGGCAATCCTAAAAATATATTAAATCATTACTATTGTTTATCCAGAGTAAGAGAAAACACATATGCAACACTGGAAACAAATATCTTCAATATTTCGGGATGAGATATGTGTTAAGTAGATTTCTGCAATGGCTGAAATGAACAACAATGTATACAACATATAGAAGGCTTTGTACATGTTACTGAATAGTCCTAATAGTTAAAATAATCAGAAGAACTAAACAGAATATAGCACAAAACTTAAAAAGCACTTGAACACAGACTATCAGTTTCCTGCATAAAGCTGTAAATCGTTAAGACGAAATTCATCCAATGAAATATAAAGTCGAAATGGCAACTGCAAAATTGTTATGATAACAGGATAACTCAGAGAACATTAAAATGATTGGCAACGAGCCAAGAACACACTGTTATGAAACAAACTTGAAAAATAACAAGGGCATTAAAAATCACAAAACAGGAGGTAAAAAAATCAATAGCATTCGAAGACTTTAATTATATGTAAGGTGGAATGAAACAATTTCTCTCATAATTAGCATCACCAAATGATAACTAATTATTCAGATTTACTAATTATTTCTCCATCTGCACGTAGTTGCCATTCACATAATCGACGATGATAGCTTCTCGCGAATGCGTGAATAATGGATACCAGGAAGGACAGAATAAGCGCAGATATGAGGACAAACAACATGGTCTGCAGCCAACTCTGTTGCTAAAATTAAACAAACCACAATATATATATATATATATATATATATATTTACAACCATAATAAAAAGGGACATGTATGAGTCTTACTAATAATACGAAAATTATAGAGAAATACTTATTCGCCACCAATATGGATTATATTCAGAAATCGACATGTAACAAACTGATCAAGTAGCCTTTAATGAGAGAGCTACACAGATTTTTAGTGAAAGTATATTGTGAATAAAAACTTGCTTTCATCATTTACCTCACGGCCAAGCCGACTGCAGGCTAGAAAAAGGTAGACAAAATCTCACAGTCAGAGCTTATACCAGTGGAAATTCGATCCATATGAATATTTGATTTTACCTGTATAAATTCTTATATGCTATATGGAAATGTCAAGCTACAGGTTGACACAAAAATGTCTAGATATGAAAGGATGTTGTGTAATTGACCCGGCTACAGAAATGCCAGTAAGCCGCTGTGCACTGTTGCTAACTAAAGTGCAGATATCAGTAGATTTCCAAAAAGAAGTTCTCTACACAAGTTCAGGCTTTTGCAAATAAAGCATTTGTCCACCTAAAGCGTATTTCGATCACATTTCAAAAAATTCCACCACTCTTTACATCAAAAGAAACTTCGTTACAAATCTTGAAAATATTGTCTGGTGCAAACCATTGTGTTACGAAAAGATAAATACACAAATATGTTCATAAATCAAAATGAACACCTTCGGAAACAGAAAACATATTGCAGGAAAGTTCAACAACACATGGTAATCCAATAAAAGGTAGGGGCGTAAGACGCAACTATATAACCCTATTCATATTCATTCAAGTTTCAGCTTATACATTTACTGTAGTTTGGTGTCTTTTAATATCTACTTCAGACGACAATGTCTAGTAATTATAGCCACAAACTAAACTAACACATAAAATAGGTGACTTGAAGAAATTCCTGACTGAAAGGAATGTAGACAACATTTATGGAGAACTAAAGCTAGACAGAGTATTCAGTTTACTTTTAATTAGTCAAAAAAAGGACAAAAATATACTGTGAATAAGTTACTTACCCCAATGGGTTCTTTATTGTGCAGACTGGCCTTCTGTTGTTGTAAATACTCAAGAAATGGAGCTTGTAACCGATTTCCGTACACTGGAATACGGCTACAGTTTTCAAAACACAGATAGAATGAAGTTAATGAAATGTAGGAAAAAATTATTTCCAGGAAACAACTAGATCGACGTTTTATGGGTGTGACAACATAGGATTCTATGAAATTTCTTAAACACTCTTTGCATCTAGTTTAATTAAAGGTATACGGATTCGTCCGCTCCTACGATTATCGAAAAACAATCAACAACAATCTCAAAAGTATCCAGAAATAAAGTGTATCTTAAATAAAGCACGTGTACTGTGAGACAAGCTAACAAATACGGTAAATGTAAAGCTTTTTTGGTACTTTGGAATACACGACGCATCCCCTAGCCGACTAAATCCATGAAGTTCCACAAACTAATCCACTGAATTAGCCTCCTTATGTAACACTGTGCTTAATCCCATCATAATTTGACATATTTATTCAACACTTGTGGTCAAAACTCCGGTCATTTCTAACCTTTTACTATCGGTGGCTATGTCTTGTAGTTACATGGGAGGACATAGTGTACTGCTATACAATACAGTACACATTACCTAGGTACTACGTAAGCACCATAGAAACGAGTTGGCAAGTGTTCAACCAGCCCTTGTATTTATGCTTGGATTTCACCAGCATCCAATCCATTGGGGACGTTGAACCTTCTCAAATGAGAAAAGTGGTCGACAGATCTGTTCAGTAGGATAATATGAGTGCTACAGCAGCAAATCGCGTTCAAAACCTACACCGGCTTTCTTGCAATGAGTTCAAAAAGTTGTATTTTACCAGCATATTTGCTTAAAAGGAAAATACCCTCAATGTCGACAGGATCTTTAAGTCGTACCAATTTAAAAATAAAGGAAGGTATAAAAGGAATTGCAAAGTCAATGTGGGATAATCATTCCGTCCTCAAACCACTTTTCACTGTATCACTACCAAAATGGAGCTTACTTTCAGGATAGGTAAATGATATGAGGATTCAACAAAATCTCAGTCTTAGAAAATCCGTTATTTCAAATGACGATTTTGAGCCATGTCACCAATTGTATCCAACCATTGATTTTTACCGTCCCGAGGACCCCAGCCTGGAAGTCTACACCTTCCTACGTGGCTTAGACCAACTGTTGTAGATTTCATTGACTGGTACCATGTTTTGGTTTGACCGCCGCTAGCTTTTTTCCAGCCTGACCCTATATCCGCTAACATCGCTCGTCGAGGGAGGCGATGGCTTGGCACACGTAACACATGTCCTAAGCATCTCAGTCTTTGTAACTTCACGACTTCGTCGATTGTTTTCCCCTGTTTACCTAGAACTCGACGCCTAACTTCAATGTTGCTCACCTTATTATGCCACTTTACACGGGAAATAGAGTGCAGGCACCTTTGATCAAAGACAGCTAATATTTTCATGTCTTCCACTCTCAGTGGCCAGGTCTCACAACCATAAAGGAAGACGAAGTGTACTGATGAGCAGTACACCCGCCCTTTGGTCGATTGTCGGATACTTCGTCTACGCCAGAGACGGCGTAAACTGGCAAATGCGAAACGAGCCCCCTGCATCCGTGCTGAGATTTCGTCAGAGATCAACCCGTTGGCATTGGCTGATGGTACTTCCAAAATAAGTGAAGCGGTCAATGTGCTCTACCACTTCACTTCCTACTTTTAATCTAGGAGTCGGTGTAGTCCAGTCCTGTAACATCATCTTACATTTTACAGTAGGAGCAAATCGCATGCCAAACATTCGTAGATTGCAGCTCAAGGTGTTTAGAAGACTCTGCATTTTGTCAGCGTCCTCGCCTAGGACTATATCGTCTGCATATTCTAAGTCAACAAGACTATTCCCTGGTAGCAAGTCAATCCCTGAGTCTCTGAAGTGAGTTAGGGTTAAGTCTATTGGTACACCTATTGTGAAATTATTCAGAAATGGGGACACTGGGAATCCTTGACGGAAACCACTGGTTGTCATCACAGTTGTCAACTCTCCGTAGGCTCTCACCTGGCTACATGAGTTAGAGAAGAGTGCCTTGATCAGTGCGATATGTTTTCTCGAAATTCCCATAGTACATATCGGTCGACGGAATCGAATGGCGCCTTTAGGTCAAGAAATATAACGATTGTTGGACGCCGGTAAGTATGCCTATGTCCCAGAATCTGTTTAAGGGTGAATATATGTTCGATACACCTCCTTCCTGGTCTAAAGCCTGCCTGGTTCTCTCGTGTTTGTTTCTCCCTGAGCACCGCTTTGTCTACACATCATTATTGAGCCTAGAACTTTAGATACCATATTAGTCAAGGTAATCCCCTTGTGATTATCACAGGAAGACTTGTCTCCCGTTTTGTGTATCGGGATAATCAATGACTTTACACCAGCCCGACTGGACTTCTTATGATTCCCAGACGCTGCCTAGTACCTCAGTTAATGCAGACAGTAAACTGTCTCCACCGCACTTAAATACCTCTGGAGTAATTTAATCAGGTCCTGCTGCTTTGCCTTGTTTCAGACTAGTGACAGAGAGATAGCATTGGATATCTGTCAAGGAAACTCGGTTGATTTCACTCACTCACCCACTGAAGCCGAAAAGCAGCAGGCAAAAGGGACCTGAGGTCACTATATCACATAACCAAGTCTCTATCCGGGAAGAGATCAACACAAGTGAAACCTATAAACGACAGCAAAGGAACCGAATTACCAAGGCAGAAAGACAGATTAAACAATGGGCGGATCATTTGAAAGGACTCTTGAACCGACCACCACCTGCAACCCGTCCAGAAATACCAACAACAGCACGAACACAAATGCAAGTTGACATCAGTCCTCCAACGAAAGCTGGTCTTGAATGCAATCAAGCTTCTGGAAGCTGGAAAAGCAGCTGGACCAGATGGAATACCTCATGAAGCACTGAAAGCGGACCCAGAGATGACAGCGGATATGCTGACTCCATTATTGCAAAAGGTCTGGAAGGAAGGAAAGCTGCCTACTGACTGGAGGAAAGGTTACCTCGTGAAACTACTAAAAAAGGGCGACTTACGCCCCACTCTGCAAGAACTGGCGAGGAATCATGCTCCTATCGACGCCAAGTAAAATCCTGAGTCGCATCATCCTGGAGAGATTAAAGGACGCACTGGAGACAGAACTCCGACCAGAACAAGCTGGATTCAGGAAAGTCAGGCAAATCGTGTACTGACCAAATTGCAACTCTACGCATCATCATCGAACAAAGCATGGAATGGCAATCAAACCTCTACCTCAACTTTATAGACTTTGAGAAGGCCTTCGACAGCGTTGATCGTGAAGTAATTTGGAAACTACTCGAGTACTACGGCGTACCCCAAATATTCATCAACCTTATTCAACAGCTGTACGACAACGGCACATGTCCAGTGATCCACAACGGAAGACTCAGCGAGGCGTTTGGAGTAAACACAGGAGTCAGACAAGGGTGCTTATTACCACCAATGAATGATATTCCTAATTATGGTGATCTGGATTATGCGTCAGACAGTGGGAAACGAGCAGTCAGGGATATCCTGGACTGACGTGAAGAACATAGAAGACCTGGATTTCGCGGATCATTTATGTTTGATGTCACACAAAATCGAAGACTTACAAGTGAAAACCGACAAACTGGTCGAAGAAGCAGCCGGTGAAGACAGGACTCCAGGTGAACATAGACAAGACGGAGGTTATGAAAATAACCAACCAACAACAACAACAACATCCAGCGTCAATCACCATCAACGGGAGGGATTTGAAAGAGGTTACTTCATTCACTTATCTAGGGAGCATTGTCTCAACGACAGGAGGAACGGACGAGGATGTCAAATCGAGAATCGGGAAGGCAAGAAACAAATTCATCAACTTGAAACCAATCTGGAAATCTTCGTCACTCAGCATCACCAACAAAATTCGGATTTTCAATACAAACGTCAAGTCAGTCAGTTCTTCTATACGGATCAGAAACTTGGCGGGCGAGTCACAAAGAATATTTCCAACAGCCTGTTGCAGACCTTTATCCACAACTGTCTTCGCTTTATACTGAAGATCAGATGGCCGGAAAGAATCACCAACAAGGAACTATGGGAACAAACAAAGCAAGAACCAATCGCCAACTAACAAATATGCAGGAGAAAGTGGAGAAGGATCGGACACTCGCTCAGGAGGTGATATGTATCCATATATATATATATATATATATGATGACCTCTCTTTCTGTTTGCTCGCTTAGCCTGTGACCATTTCACTTTGATGAACCTGTCTCCTTTAACAATGTACATTCTCCTTATATTATATATAATATAATATGAGTGTTTGTTGACAGTCCGTCGCTTGGTGACATATATCCATATATGGTGGTTGTTGACATGTCTGCTATATTTTGCTATGTATATTTGGATCGACACTCAATTATAATTAGCCATTCATGTTAAGACTGTCTATTGATTTGTTCACACACTTGTCTGGATGGTCATATATATTTCGCTCACACAATTTGTGTGACTTACTTACTTTGGTGTGATACCACTTATTGCTTCTCCTTGTGTTTGGAAAATAGAAGTATCATCGCAAACCTAGTGGTCTTCTGATTTCCGTCTTCTTGCGTCAGGACTATTAAATTCTCGACCAGTACATAGCAATAATTTGGCGACGAGTACATAACAATTTGGCGACGGGGAAAACTACTATTAACCACTCAGCAGCAGCAACATAACAGGAGGCCACCGGGTGACATCGCGCGTCAGGTCGTCGAGTGAAACCCGGAAGGGAAGCGGCGAGTGGGACGTCCAAGGGTGACGTGGAGGAGATCGTGTGAAGAGGAGTTGAAAGAGTATGGACTAACATGGACGCAGGTGAAAAGTACAGCAAAAGACAGAGGCAAGTGGAAACGTGCAGTTGAAGCCCTATGTTCCACTAGGAACCCAAGGGAACAATAATAATCATACATTGAATTCACATAACCCATATTATACTGTGCCAATCAGTGCAAATATATTTTAAATCCACTTAGACATAACCTTTATACTTACGAT